TAAGAGGTGAGGGAAATCAAGAGACTAGTGAGATTTTTGCTGAATACTGAGTTGTGGTTTCTTTCAGGGCAGGACAGGAAATATCCAAGGATATTTGTCTATGAGAATAGCAAAACAATTCAAAGAGCTGAGGAGGGACAGAATAAAATATACCAGAAAGCCAATAATCAGGGAGGAAACTGAGGACTCCATGCCAAAAGCCTGCGGGCTGCCCTGCCTACCACAGCCCCTGATGTTCCCACCCCTTCAAGTCTGAACAGAGGCCAGAGTTCAGTGTCTGTTCTCTGCAAAGCCCTTCGGCTGTATCTAGTGACTGTCGTGGGCCTGTGGAATTCATGCAGGGAGAGGCAGGTGGTGAGCCGTCTCCCAAACAGGTATGCCTTCATCACAGGTTGTGACTCCCCCTCTGGGATCCTGCTGGCTGGACAGCTGGACGTACAAAGCATGACGGTGCTAGCTGAATAACTGTTGGAAAAGGAAGCTGAGCAGCCCGGGAACAAGACATCAGACACGTTGGAGACCATGACCCTGGAAATCAACAAACCAGAGAGCGTTGCTGTAGTCTCTAAAGGATGAAGGAACACGTGTAGGGAGTTGACAAAGGTAAGACCCAGATTCCTGTCTGGGTCTTGTCTCTGTGTCAAGGGTGTTAATATTCTGACTTGCCCCCTTGACATCCTGCCCCTTGGGGCCGCCCTGCATCCTGACATAGAAACCTCTTAAGGAAAAACTCTGCCCCTTCCTCTCTCTCTCTCCATTCTCTCCCACGAGATGTGCACCCCTCGACTCCTTCCTCCCTCCCTCCCTCTCTCTCTCTCTCTCTCTCTCTCTCTCTCTCTCTCTCTCTCTCTCTCTCCCTCTCTCTCCCTCCCTCCCTCTCTCTTTCTTTCTTCTCTCCCTCTTTCCTATCATCTCTTCATCTACTATAATAAACCATTTCCATGTGGATGTAGTGACTGGGTTGTGACTGTCCACCTGCCGCCCCACCGCCATGCCTGCATGGAGTAGGTCACCTGCCAGCCCGCCACTGCATCTGCCCAGCATGCCAGCATGTTTCCCTGCACTCGTGGGATACCCTTGGGGTCCCCTTGTAATATATCATAACAAAGGGAACATCTTTGTGTTCAAGGGCAAGATTCCTCAAAAGTCTGGGGGGCTTGGGGGAAAAAAAGACAGAAAAACAAAACAAAACAACTGCAAGCTTCCTTTTCTCTCATCCACATGCCATCATGAGCCTAGGAGGTGAGAGGCTGGGCAGGTGGGCACAGTTTGTGGCCCAGCTGAGAGCCGGTATGAGTTTCCTGCAGAGGGAAAGAACTGAGGAGTGAGGAACCAGGAACTCTTACAAACTTCCCTCCTGATTTAGAACTGAAAGAGGAAGTGGAGAGATTGCATCAAAGATCCATTTATTCTGAACAGATTTCAAAGTCCATGACGGTGTTCTGACAAGTTGAATCTGCGCCGGGTAACAAATTGCACAGAGAATGTACTAACCACTCCTGCCGTCCATACATGGCACTCACGTGGCTGGAACTCCAGGGTTGCTCTCCCCACGAGCTATACATCTACCTTTCTGGTGGACTCCATGGAATCCCCTAAGGTACTATGAAGCCAAGATCAGAGAACGTGGTAGACTAGGGGGTTTCCGGTGATAGGTAATATGTCATGGAGTGGGGAACAGACAGGTAAGGGGAACATTTCAGGACCCCAGGATCATGCAGGCGCTCCATCTCCTCATGTCTGCCCCAGGTTTTTCCTGAGACATTAATCAGGATTCTGGGGAAGAGCAAACTATGTTTTTCAGCTGAGGAATTGTGTGTATGTGCATAGCAAGCCGTCATTCAAGGCTCTGAAGCCCCATAGCTCACCTGCCCCTGAGTACTTTGCTTTGGGGGATGGGGCATGAGCAAGGGCAGGGGAACTGGTCTCAGTTTATCCTGTTCTGTCTCCTGCCTACCTCCTTAGTTTTGTTGTGGCCAGTCCCTGCCCTCCCACAGGATAGAAATGACCTGGAGGAAATGAGGCCTTTTTTCTTCCAAAGACTTCTGTGGGAACTGAGTGGGCTTGAGAGGGGACAGAGCAGCCTGAATTCTTGGGCCTCAAGTGCCAACTAGGTGAGGAGAGCTGGCATCGGGAGGCACTCTCAGCCTTGTATGTGGCCCTACAGCCCTCAGCCTACATTTTTTCTTTTTCTAATTTGAGTCCACTGCCTTAGCCAGAATCAGTAAAGAGGCCTAGAAGGTGACTGGATCCAGTAGAGGCCTGCTCCAGGTCAGTTCTGAACTACTCTTCTCCGGGGCCAGACACCTCAGCCTTACCTGTGTCCCCAAGAACTGGAATGCTCGCTGCGCCTCAGTCTGCTCATCCCTTGAGGGACATTGATGTCTCCTGGGCATGACTTCCTTGATCACTCATCCAGGAGGCCAACGCAGACTGGGGGATGCTTGCCAGGCCTGTACAGGATGTGCCATGACCTCGAGGAAAGCATGAAGCACATAAGTGTGTCGTCCACCACTGCCTACCTCCTTCGCCCACGGGTCTGTCCTTCAGAGATGGGCTAATGGCCGGACCCCCACCCCTATATCTTTGGTACAGAATGACCCAGCCTTGTTGTGTGAGGCCTAAAGTTATGCTGGAAGTTTAAATTACTGTGCTTAAGAGATCTATAAAACAAAAATGCCTGTAAGCCCCGCTTGCCCAAGGACAGATAACTCACTGGAATGCTGGGGGCTGTTGTTCATGTAAGAGAACAAGCCATGTGTTTTCATGTCTGTAAACGAGGTTGGTTGCCCCATCTGCACAGGACATGCTTGATCACATGTAGGCAGGAGGTAACTCAGGATGGATGCTTGCCCTCAACCCATCAGATGAAGACAGAAAGTCGGTAGCCTTGTGGGTTTTGCCTTTATATGCACCTAACATAATTGGCAGTCATTCTAAGGGAATCCCAGGTTTGGACCTGGCCAGCGTCTATACCAGTATTTAACAAAGCTTGGCTTCAAATTTGGCTCAAAAATTACGGTAGTGGTCTTAGTCTTGCCAGGCAGGATTAACAGTTGGTGTGACACCCTCTTTACCTGTATAGCTGGCCAGCATCGGTAAATGCACAAAGATGCACCCATTGCTCCCCTCTCCAGGGAGCTTTTGTACCTGATTTCTGTATAGACCCTCTAAACAGGGAGGAGGTCAGCTCTCGGCCAGTCTCATCCTGGTGATCCTGGATGTTGAGCCAAGAGGGCACCCAGCATCGCCTGGTCCCTGCAGTTTATGCAATGCTGGGTGTGGTCCCTCAAGACTCACACCCAGCTTGCTTCCTTCTCTCCTCTGCTTTATCAGTGTCCCTCCTAACTTTCTGCGAGCTCTCTATTGCCTGGGATAGCTCTCTCTGCAAGTTCTGCCCCTGACATTTTCCAAGTCTTATCCCTGCCCTCCCCGCAAATCATCTCCCTTGGACTCTGACCAAGCCCCTCCCACATTTCCAGTGGGCTTGTTGTGGTCCAGCCTCATCTTGTCTGGCTGCCTGTCAGTCTCGGAGAGCCTCTAGGGGGAGCGATCAACACCCTAACCTCCCGTTGCTGCCCTCCAGGGGGAGCAATCAACTCCCTAACTTCCCGTTGCTGCTGTGCCTTGCCTCCTGACTTCTCACACCATCTGTCCTTGGCCCAATACCTGCTAATCATTCTGACTGACTCCTGCCCTCCTTCCCTTCTGTAGATCTCATTAGCCACAGGGTCAGATAGCCCCTTCTCTGCGCTGCAGCCCTCCCTGCCTTCTGTCTCTTCATCCATCCACCTAGAATGCGCCGGGTCCTCGGGATAGAAGGGAAGAGCCTTTCCCCAAGAGTCCTCAGTGTTGGACTCCTCCAGTGGGCTGGCCACTAGCGGGTGGGGTGGGTGAACTTCTGGGTTGGTTTCCAGTACACATGCATGTTCCTTGCTGGTAACTGGACAGTCACCAGCCCTACCACCACCACCACCACCACGGTTCTGGCAGATTCTCATGTTTGTTTGAGACAGGGTCCCATGCAGCCCAGATTGGCCTCTGGCTAGCTATGAAGCTGAGGATGACCTTTGAACTCCTGATCCTCCCACTTTTACCTCCCAAGTGCGGAAGATGACAGACGTGTGCCACCACACCCAGCCGGTTTGAGTCTTTCTACATTTTTAGAAGTTGAAACTCCTATCTCCAGCCTCTCCTAGAGAGCTGCCTCTGGAGTGAGCGCAGCGGAGTCACGCCCAGGCTGGGAAAACCCTGTGGTTTTTATCATCTCTCACAATGGAGACTCACTTAACATCTCCAGACAAGATGGTCCTGGTGGCACCTGGGAGAGGCAGGAAGGATGTCACAACTTGGCAAGTTCAGGCTAGGCCAGCCAGGGCTATTAGTGAGACCTTGTCACAAAACTAAACTAAACTAATTAATTAAAGATCTCAAAGAGCTGATGCCCCGGAGTGCGTTTCCCCTGGGACTTGGCAGGCTCAATTCAACTTTTGTTTGCTTTGTATTAATGAGTCTGTCTTTTTTTTTTCTTTTCAGATAATAAAAATTAAATTTGTTGACATGCCTGAATGCATGGTAGATGGTTTTGAGTCCTAAACAGGAGGTAAAACCAGTGTGGGATTTCCTTAAGATCAGAGCTGAGCCCTCCTTTGCCCTCCCATGCCCCTTCCCAGAATGCACTTGAACTCACACTACTCTGAATTTCCCCATTTTGGGCTCCCTTCCCTGAAAGGTCGAGGAGAGAGATGGAAGCAGTCACCAGGCCAGTCATTCTGTCAGAGGTGACATGCTTCAGGTTGGACCTGAATTTCTTGCATCTGAGCTAATTGCCATGTGGATGCATCCACCTATAAAATTACAGAGCAGCTCATCCAGGGGCCCTGTATCTGTTGCAAGTCCGAGAAGCTCTCGCTCCCTGTGGGCTCCGGCAGCTACCTGCTGGGCTCTGAGGACCAGCCTCCCCTACCATTTCCTGGGCCCATCCTTGGACATCAGCTCCAATGGCAGCCCTCACAGACTTCGCTTTCATGTACCGCTGGTTCAAAAACTGCAATCTGGTTCGAAACCTCTCAGAGAAGTACGTCTTCATCACGGGCTGTGACTCGGGCTTTGGGAACCTGTTGGCCAGACAGCTGGTTGACCGGGGCATGAGAGTGCTTGCTGCTTGCCTCACTGAAGAGGGGGCTCAGAAACTCCAGCAGGACACCTCCTACCAGCTGCAGACCATCCTCCTAGATGTCACCAAGACTGAGAGCATCAAGGCGGCAGCCCAGTGGGTGAGGGACCAAGTGGGCGAGCAAGGTGGGGTGACCGGCATTCTTCAACATCCCCTCTCTCCCTCTCTCTCTCTCTCTCTCTCTCTCTCTCTCTCTCTCTCTCTCTCTCTCTCTCTCTCTCTCTCTCTCTCCCCACCCCGGGATCCTGACGTGCAAATGGAGTTGGAGAGATGGAACAGGAACAGGCCAAGAGCCTCTGGTGCAGTTAAACCTGGAATCATTGCATGGTTTGGCCAGGAGACATGAGAACGCAACATTTTCTCCTGAGGACGTTTTCTCCCTCAGAGGTTCAGGACAGAGGCGGCAGCTAGAATGTTCTGAATGTTCAAACCTCTAAAGATAGAAGTGCTTTTTGGAGGCTTCAGGAGTCCCAATATTGGCTCCCATGGAAGTGCAGTCGTGTTTCTTGGAGGGCTGAGGCTAGGAGCAATAACGAAGGGGCAAGCGGTGGAAATCTAGTGAGGCAGGCCTGTCTCTTCTGTACACCACCACGGAGGCTGCTGCCTCCAGCAGGGGGTCGCTCCCATTGGAAAATGAGCCTGTGTTGGAGGCTGTTCCACGAATACACTGGGACTTGCCCGGGGAACTTGTAGCATGCAGGGCGTGGACACAGGATTGTTTGGTTACTGGAACAGAGACTGCAGGGAAGTATTTGGTTCCTAAGAATCGCTAGGCTTCTGCCCAGGTCGGGTCAACAACTCTAGCATTTAGCCCTGTCCAGTACATAATGCGTTTCAGTTTTTTTTTTAAATTATACCATTATTATTATTGGTGTGTGTGTGTGTATGTGTGTGTGTGTGTGTGTGTGGTGTGTGTGTGTATGTGTGTGTGGTGTGTGTGTTGTGTGTGTGTGTGTGTGTTGTGTGTGTGTGTGTGGTGTGTGTGTGGGGGGTGTGTGTGTGTGTGTGGTGTGTGTGGTGTGTATGTGTGTGGTGTGTGTGTGTGGTGTGTGTGTGTGTGGTGTGTGTGTGTGTGGTGTGTATGTGTGTGGTGTGTATGTGTGTGGTGTGTATGTGTGTGTGTGTGTGTGGTGTGTGGTGTGTATGTGTGTGGTGTGTGTGTGTGTGGTGTGTGTGTGTGTGTGTGGTGTGTGTGGTATGTGTATGTGTGTGTGTGTGTGTGTGGTGTGTGTGTGTGTGTGTGGTATGTGTATGTGTGTGTGTGTGTGGTGTGTGTGTGGTGTGTGTGTGGTGTGTGTGTGTGTATGTGTGTGTGTGTGTGTGTGTGTGTGTGTGTGTGTGTGGTGTGTGTGTGGTGTGTGTGTGTATGTGTGTGTGTGTGTGTGTGGTGTGTGTGTGGTGTGTGTGTGTGTGGTGTGTGTGTGGTGTGTGTGTGTGTGGTGTGTGTGTGTGTGGTGTGTGTGTGTGTGTGTGTGTGTGTGTGTGTGTGGTGTGTGTGTGTGTGGTGTGTGTGTGTGTGGTGTGTGTGTGTGGTGTGTGTGGTGTGTGTGTGTGTGGTGTGTGTCTGTGTGTGGTGTGTGTGTGTGTGGTGTGTGTGTGGGTGTGTGTCTGTGTGTGGTGTGTGTGTGTGTGGTGTGTGTGTCTGTGTGTGTGGTGTGTGTGTGTGTGTGTGTGTGTGGTGTGTGTGTCTGTGTGTGTGGTGTGTGTGTGTGTGGTGTGTGTCTGTGTGTGGTGTGTGTCTCTGTGTGTATACAGTGCATGAAGAGGCCAGAGGACAGCATTGGTTCTGTGGATCTGGAATTACAGAAAAAGAAAACAGAGTAGGAAAAATGTATGTGGAAGCCAGAGGATAACTTTTGGAAGTCAGTTCTCTCCACCAGCTGAGCCCCGGGTGTTAAACCCGGGTCATCAGGCTTGGGCTGCAGACACCCTTATCTGCTGAGCCGTGCTACTGGCCCTTTCTTTCTTTATCATCTGTTTTCTCTGCTGGACTAGAGCCTCCTGAGAGTGGGTCTATGTCTCTTTTACTCATTCCATGTCCTTAGTACCTAGGACACCCAGGAAGGTGCCCAATAAATATTTGTTGAATGAGTTAGTTAATGAATAATTCAGCAAGGGTGAGCCTCTTCTACCACGCTGTCTCAGCCTGTTCCCTGAATTCAGCCTCCAGCCATTTGTGATGTGACTCACTGGGTGTATCAGTCTCCTGTGGTTGCTGTAACAAATCCACGCAAATGTGGTGGGTTAAACAACAGACATTTATTACCCCATAATTCTGGAGGAAGTAAGTCCAAAATGGTTCTCACTAGTCAAGACCTCGGCAGAGCCACGCTCATTTTGAGGGCTCTGGGGCAGAACTCACTTGCAGGAGTTTCCACCTTCGGAGGCTGCCGACACTATTCTGAGATCCTTATGCTCATAGCCTCTTCCAGTGAGCTCTTAGGTGTCCTGTGGTTATACGGGCTTACCTGGTGAACTTGGGGTAATGTCCCCAGCTTAAGGTCAATTGATTAACTGCCTTCCTTCCACCTGCAGTCTTAACTCTCCCTTTCCCACACCACCTAACAAATTCTCAGGTTCCTGTGATGGTGACATCTTTGGAGGACTATTATTCTGCATGTGCCACTGGGCAACATTTTTCACAAAAGAAGCGCTAGGGATTGGGTGAAGTGAGGCATCCCGGACCTCAAGAAACGGAGGCAGGCGGATAGACGGCCTCCTGCAGGCACAGACGTAGAGCTGTTTGCCCTGCTTTATTCTCTAATTATTCTTTTTTAAAGAATAATTTATTTATTTATTTTTATTTCATTTGCTTTGATGTTTTCCCTCATGTAAGTCTATGTGATGGTGTCAGACCCTGGAGTTGCAGACAGTTCTTAGCGGCCACATGGGTGCCGTGAATTGAACCCAGGTCCTTAGGAAGAACAGTCAGTGCTCTTAACTGCTGAGCCATCTCTCCAGCCCCCTCTAATTATTCCTTGTAGGAAAACAAACAAAAAATACATCCTGTTTCTCCAGTGCTCTATCAGAGGCATCGGTGGTACGTGGCCCTCTCTAGAGCAGAGACCACTCAAGTGTTAGGATCTTTGAGTCTTGGGAGCCTCATTTTTTCCTCTGTAAGAGAGTTCCCTTAGCTGGGAAGGCCCTAAGTCCTACCAGCCAGTTGTCCTCCTGCAGTCTCTCTAATCTGAAGAAGGGATAAGATGGGAAGTGGCATGGCTTAGGTGGGGACTCCAGAGCTAGGGGAAAGATGGGTCGTAATTGATGCTTGTATCCAGACCTGCCCTCAGAAGAGAGAGTGCACTGTGGTACTCCAGAGAGTGTCTTGAGGCTGTGTGGATCAAAATGGAACTCTACCAGGGAAAAGAATGGAGGGATCAGGGATTGGGGCACATAGGATCCCTGGTGAAGGAAGCAGCTTGCACTGTTTCTATGATCACCTCCTCTGCTGGCATTTCACTCAAAAGCTCGATTCATAAAACAAATGAAAGGAATGCTTTCTCCCACAGCCCCACCGCCAGCAAGCTTGTGGGAACTGTCCTGGTGTTGTTTGATGAGGAACCTGAGGCCCAGGGAGGGAAGGGACTTGTCCAAGGCTAGAATCAGAATCAGACCTGGAACCCTGGTTTCTCCAACCCTGAAGCCCTGTAGAACTGGATAACCACATTGATTTTCACCAGCCCTACCTTCCTAATTTGAAGAGAACCCTTATCCCATTTCCATGAGTATCAGATTTAAATGTTCTTATGCATTTATCTATAAATACTCTAAGCACGCTTTTCTTTCCAGAGGCTTAAGATCCCCAACTTACTCATTTTATGTCTCCTTTGCTTAAGTAACATGCACAGAGCAGAAACATGAATGAATGAATGAATGACATTTGCTACATGAATGAATGAATGGGCTGATCTGGTAACTGTGAACTGGAACTTTTTCTACTTGGAAGAGTAGAGACAAGGATGCATGATTGGTGGAAAATTCAAGCACCGATCCGCTTGTATGAAAACCATATCTCTTAGCCCGTATCTCATGGCTTCGGTGACACCGGTTAGCACACAGCCTTGGTTACAGCTGGTACAGAGCCCGGTTTAGTTGGCAGACCACAGGAATCAGGGAGGGGGAAAGCGTTCCGTCGGGAACTGCGAGCATTTCATTTGGCCTTCAGCTTGCTGTAGCTCTCATGGCTGTCCCACGCCACACACCATCCTTGAGCGTGTCTGCCCACTGCCCCGAGGTGTTGTACTCCTGCTCTGCCATCCTCAGCTATCGGTAGTGGCCCCTGGAACTCTCCCAGAGAAGTTGCTGACCCCCGTATGGTTCTCTCTACCCTTCTCTCTCACCCTAGGCCTCTGGGCCCTAGTCAACAATGCTGGTGTGGCCCTGCCCAGTGGTCCCAATGAGTGGCTGACCAAAGAAGACTTTGTGAAAGTCATCAATGTGAACCTGGTGGGACTGATTGAAGTCACCCTGAACATGCTGCCTATGGTCAAGAAAGCCCGGGGCAGGGTGGTCAACATGTCCAGTTCTGGTGGTCGTGTGGCCGTCATCGGTGGTGGTTACTGTGTCTCCAAGTTTGGTGTCGAAGCCTTCTCCGATAGCATCAGGTGACTGGGTCCTGGTACCAAGCCAGGTGGGGGGGGGGGGGGTCTTGGGGCTTTAATGCGGTAATAGAGGTCTGAGCATGTCGGTGTGTGGGCGGGGTAGTTCTGGGGAGAAGAATCTAACTCAGGACCAAGAAAAGACGTGAGGAGGAGAGGGACCCTGCGGAATAAGGATCGAAGGATCAGGCGGATCTTCCCTTGGGTGGACCCAGAGTGAGGGAAACCCCATTGCTGGGGAGAGACAAGGGGGGAGGCTGGAGAGGGGAGAGAGAAAGAGAGCACATAGAGGGAGGCCTGGAGCAGAGGTGCCTCTGGAAGCCCCTTAGAAGATGCCAGTCTTTTTACAGATCCCCTTATACCTTTTGTCACATGGGTGATGGGCATAGGGCTGAGTGGAAAGAACCTGGGAGGAGGCAAGAACTTGACCTAGATTCTCCACCGAGTTCCTGTTGGCTTTGCCTAATGCAAATTGCCCCAGACTACTGGATCAGTTTGGGAAAGGAATGAGGTCCTAAGGAAAGCTTATTTGCATGAAGGCAATGTTGAAATTAGCCCTATGATGGCATGAACACCTCCAGGTTTCAGGAGAGACAGGTCCCTCCAAAGGTGTCTCTGATGCCTGTCATTATGAGGCTAGACCAAATGCAACTCTTAATCTCACAGGCGAGAGCTTCACTTCTTTGGGGTGAAGGTCAGCATAATTGAGCCAGGGAACTACCGGACATCCATTCTGGGCCAGGAAGCTCTGCCATCTCGAATGAAGAAGCTGTGGGATCGGCTGCCTCAGGAGACCCGGGATAGCTACGGAGAAGAGTATTTCCATGCCTGTGAGTCTCCAGGAGGAAGTGGGCTCTCGGAGGAAGAGCTGGAGGTTTGGGGGTCCCCGGATGGATTTCAGTGTACAGATGATGGGATGGAGCCCCAGAGATCATACACACAGGTAGTAGCAGCAAAGCTGGAGTTTGAGATCAGAGCCACAGCTTCGGGGAAGGTCAGGGCATGTGGAGAGAGGCTGTCTGCTCTGACACTTCTCCAAACATCAGATGTAGGTAGATCTGAGAAGACAGTAGCAAACTGATAGAGCGTGTGGGTGCAGGAGCCAGACCGCCTGCTTCAAGTCCAGGCCCTGCCACCTGTGGGCTTGGACACTGCTTGGTTTTTGTTTTTTTTGTTTTTTTGTTTTTTTTTTTTTGTTGTTTTTTTTGGTTTTTTGGTTTTTGGGGTTTTTTTGTTTTAAGTTTCCGTTGCTGTTTTCATTTTAAAAGTTGTTGTTGTTGTTGTTGTTGTTGTATTCCTGAGGCAGGTTCTCTGGTAGCTTAATATGTAGCTCAAGATGACCTTGAACTCTGGATCCTCCTGCTTCTGTTTCCCAAATGCTGTAATCACAGGACTATACATACCACCACACCCAGCTTGACTTAGGCCTCAGTTTTCATCTGTACATGGAGCTTAAAGATAGTGCATAGGTCTTTGGGGGGACACTTAAGATCCAAACTACAGCAACGTAAGTCAGTGAAATCCAGGGCAGGAGTAGGAGCTTGTGCTCAGTGGCATGGTTTTTTGTTTGTTTTTTCCTTTCTTGTATTTTACGTACCAACCACAGTTGGCCCTCCCTTCCTCTCCCCCTGTTCTCTCCCCCCACCTCCCTTCTACCCCCCACACACACCCACTCCTCCTTCCTCTCCATTCAGATGGGGTAAGGTCTCCCCTGGGAATCCACAAAGAATGGCATTATCAAGTTGCGGCAGGATCAAGCTCCTCCCCCTGCATCAAGGCTGAACAAGGCCTCCCACCATAGGGAGTAGGCTCCAAAAAGTCAGCTCATGCATCAGGGACAGGTCCTGGTCCCACTGCCAGGAGCCCCACAAAAGACCAAGCTACACAACTGTCACCCAAATGCAGAACTAAATCCCCAACCCCGAGAAACGTTCCTTAAAGAAACACTTTGTTGTGGATATAACAATGTCCTGTGGGGGAGAAAAGAATGCCCTTAGGTGGAATATCAGGGCTCTGGTTCACAAGTGAAAGAAAATTCAACCCAAATCATTTAAGAAGAAAGTAATTTCTTATATGACTAAAAAATTGAGCAACAGTGGTCTCCAGGCCCCAATCTGACCCAGGTGCGGCATGTTATGGTTAGGGTCTGGTTTTTCTCTCATCTCTGATTATTTTGTATCAATTTATGTCCACCACTTATCTCCCCGGAGAGTAAGCTTCTAAGCAGGAGCGAAGAGTCCTGTCCAGCGCTTCCTCTGACAGTTAAATAATTCATCCTAACCTGGAGGTCCCATCATCAGGATGAGCCCAACCCTAACCTTTCACATGCTCAGAGGAGCATAAGGTTCTGATTGACTCAGGCTGGGTCATGTGCCCACGGATCCCGCAAAGGGAGAGCTGCGGCTGTGGGAAGTAAGGGAATAGATGGTAGAGGGAATGAATAACATAATCCTCTGTGTGATTCTTAAGCAAAGGATGTGCCAAATTATTTACAGGCCTACTCTGAGGCTGGGGTGAAATGTAGATTTAGTCAGTCTCTAGGAACTTCACAAGGGCCGTTTCCTAAGTGACTACCTACTACAGTTTCCCGTGGGTCTTTGAGGGAAGATGTAGGTAGAGAGCGGGGGCGGGGGTGGCGGTAGTATGGCTATACTGAAGTACAGTAAGAGGAGTTGGGCTGATAAATACCCTAGGCTGATTTACCTATATTCCGAACAGTGATTTTCCAAGAACAGGTGATAAGTGCTTTTAGATAAACTTCTTCCAGGTGGTTAATTTTCACCTCTGCAGAGGAGATCTGAAAGCAACTATATCACACCCAGAGCATCATGCTGTAATGGGTAGGCACAGAAAGCCAAGCCACTCCAGAGTGGTTACCAGTGGTTACCCAGTTCTTCTGGAACCGATGGCTCACGGATGAATCCTTTAGTTTTGCTGGATAGGTAGGAGTTCGCCAACGGGGATGAGATCCTAGTTATTTCCCACAGAAACATGAGCAATACTTGGAGATCTGAGCATCTGGGTGTGGGGCAGGTTCCAGGGCATGATTCCATAGCTCTCAAAAAACGAAGGCGTATTCAGCTAAGTATAGTTCTCCCATCGATTTTTAGGAGAACTGAACAAAACGGATATAGAATAAGCCTGGCACACTTTGGGTGGAGTTCTTACTCCCAGCCTGGCAGCAGTGTGAACAGGGTGGAGGCAGGCAGGCCTCTGGAGATACCCACACTGAGGAATACGGGTCTTGTCCTGAGGCACAAGCTCAAAACCGCTGGGGAAGATAAGGTGACCAGGCGGGAGGCTGTGCTGGAGGCTGAAGTGGCAGGTCCTGGTAGTGTGGGGCAGGGGCAAGCTCTGAAACAGACTGAAGGAATATTTAGGAGTGACAATACAGTGCCACATGACATAAACTCTCACCAGTGGCTCTGGCTAGCCCAACAGGTCCCTCCCTGGCTTTGCACCCCAGGAGTGGGCTCCGGATTGCTTGACGTTACTTTGAACTCTATCTGGGGTAGAACCATTTTAAAGTGGTTCAGGGTCACCAGAACAGGCATGCGACCAGAGAGCAATGTTCTGGCGCAGATGGGTCTCAGCATAAACTGCAGCCAAATGGGCTAAGAACGAGCTGAGGAGGGACAGACTACTAAGCGGGAGGCCGTCAAACATTCTCCTTTTAGCCATCCCGGTCTTAGTCGGAATCTGTATGAAGCACAGGAGGGGAGACCAGAACGTCAAGTGTTAGGCCACAGTGGCAAAGCCAAGAATGAAAACTCTTCCTCAAGAGCCCGATTCCAAACTCTATGCTCTTCCTCACAGTCTAGGGAAGTAAAGGGCTGTGTGGGAACTCTCTCTTTCCATTCCATGCGAAATCGGAGCTAGCAAATATTTAAGAAAACAATGTAAGGACATACCGCCTCTTGTGGCTGGACGCCTCACTGCGGGGGTGGGGGTGGGGTGGGGTCTCTGCTCCCTTTCAAGGCCCAGGGCCCAAACTGTGCTTCCCTCAGCTTGACTCCATCTCCTCAGCTTGCACAGGTTCTATGTCCCGAGGAAGTGTGCAAAACCCTGAGCACACTCTCACACTCACCTTCCTGCTGGTGGGAGTCACACCGGGTACAGCATTGGAGATGTCCTAGAACTCCATCACTAAAAAGACAGCCTGCTTTTAAGTGGGCGTGGCTCTTTGGGAGGCCCCAGTATGTAGCTGAAATTTTCTACAGTTTTCTCTTCAGGAAGCTCCTTAGAGGCTGCCACAATGCCACTGTTCACTCCCCAACAACTAGCTACAAGCATCCTTAACCTGAGATAGTGGATAATTTACGGGCACCTAGAGCAGGACAAAGTCAGGACAACTTGTTACTCTGTTTCCCAGCTTTAAAGCCCTGTCAGGAAAGTCAGATCCTCAAGCTCACTTCCTCTGGAGTCCTTATTACACTCTCTGAAGTTTGAATCCCACCCCCTATTCCGAACACCTACCCCTGTCCCAGAATCCAGGAGGAGGGGCATGGTGAGTTGCCAGAGGCCTGTCTGCCGTTGATGTCATGAGCGCCAACCGGCTTGAACTACTCAGACACCCACGTGTGTCTTCATGCCTGTTTGTAGAATTACCAATTTTTTTAATTTGCTTTTTATTTCATGTGCATGAGTGTTTTGCCATGGGTATCAGATCCCCTGGAATGGAGTTACAGACAGCTGTGAGCTGCCATGTGGGTGCTGGGAATTGAACCCGGGTTCTCTGGAAGAGCAGCCAATGCTCTTAACCTCTGAGCCTCTCTCCAGCCCCAGAATTACTAATTTTCAATTCCCCAGACACTTTAGGAAGCATGGAAACTCACAGAAGAAAAATTAACATCATGCAGTCACTAGACATCCCAAGAGCCAATAGTTTCACTTACTTTCAATTTTTTTGTGTGACTGTGAACCTTTTCCTCTGTCCTCCCACACCATCTACTCTGCTATTCATCACTATTATAGCTTGGATTGAAAATGTCTTCCAAAGGCTTATGTGTTAAAGGCCAGGTCCCCAAGACAGCAATATTCAGAAGTGGGGGCTTTACAGAGCAATTGGATCATAAGGTTCTGATGTTACCCATGGGTCAACCCAGCTGGGCTATAGCTCAATGGTAGAGTACTTTCCTGGTGTGTCTGGGACTCTGCGCTCCATCCCCAGGACCACACACATACACACACACACACACACACACACACACACACACACACACACAC